TATTCTCTTTTCTAGTTCCATGTTACGATTGCGTATAAGTAGCTGACAGTTTTCTCCAGGTCCAATTTATACGCAGTTTTCTAAAAAAATTTCAAATTATTTGCCTCATTGAATTCATATAATTGTCAATGCAATCAGTCACGGAAGGAATAGACTTACTTAGGCTTCAGTAACACCTATCAACGGCTTCTTTTGCCTCCTTTTCAAACTTTATTGTTATTTCTGTTTCCTCCATAACATTGCTCACACTTACAAAGACTTTCATATGCTTTTCGGCGCAGTTTGGCTCAATAAGGCATTTTTCTGGTTCCCACCGATCTGCCGATGAAGTTCTTGTCGAATCACATGTTTCACCTTGGTGAAACCAGTGAACTTTTGTCAAATGTAATGAGGTTCCTGCTATTGCAAGATCTCCTGTAGAGACCTGCAAATTCCCGTTAAGTCATGCAGTAGCAGGACTTGATCTACATTTCACAACACTTCACAGGTTCTACCAAGATGAGACGTGTAGGCCCTTGTCAAGTGTCAGGAATTAGCAACGGAAACTAGTGGAAGTGAATGCCCTCCCCCTTCGAACTGTGCCTGCCATCTCTTACCGTGTGCTAGAACATTTTTACGACGTATTATACTACAACATGTAAATCGGACTTTCAGAACATGGGTGCCTATAAGTACATGCAGGAGATATGGCGCAAAAAGCAATCCGATGTGATGCGCTACATCCTCCGTATTCGTACGTGGCAGTACAGACAGCTCTCGGCCGTCCATCGAGTTAGCCGTCCCACCCGACCTGAAAAGGCTCGACGAATGGGATACCGAGCTAAGCAGGGTAAGGGTTTTGTAACGATTTTTTTATAGTTTTGACCAATAATTTATAGTTTTCTATGTTCCTCTCAAGAGGATGAGTGTTTATTTTGTTTGGGAATTACTTTGATAGTGTCGTCGTACTCGAATACAAGAAGCAGGCTTTGTTTAGTACGTCTAGCTTTTTGCCTATGACGGAGTAATTTAGAATGAACCATTTCTCCTCTTAGGGCTTACGTAACTTGCTAGTCCTTCCATCTATGTCTTCGTATAAATCTATATTTGTGATTGGAGTTGGGTAATGAACTAGGTCGCCACTGGGCTGCACTCACACTGTACGTCAGCGTTTTAAGCAGCTAGGGAAAGCGTTTCGATTTCAGCGTGAGCTAGAGCTAGCCTAACTCGCACGTTGACAGCCGCGTGATTCTCATGTGCACCACGATTAAGAGGCTACGTGATGCCGCGCGACTAGCATATTTTTCCTTTGCTTCCGAATATTTGTTCAATAGTTCGTTGCTCATTTTACTCGTAGAGTACCTCGTCTACAGGACAAATTGATATGCTAAACTTTACAAAGATTTCTGTGGATCACGTTCTATGTGCATTACGGCTCCCGGAGGCAAACCATCATCCAAAAAAACTTCTCCTGCCGACTGAGGGAAAGTTCGAAGAACTAGCTCAATTGCGGAAAATTGGGGCACTGAAAGGGCGTTCATACTTGGCAATCCAGTCGAGAGATCGCGTAGTATGAACGCGCTGCGCTCTAAAGAGTCAATACTGCCTTAGCGTAGCGCTACATCGCGCTAGCGCAGCGTACGCTTCGCTTCGCAACGTACTGCTATTTCCAACGTTAGGATGATTAGAGTTGCTTACAGAGAAAAGTGGGAAGGTTGCTGGAGTTTTCTTGAGAAATTCACGGAAAGGTGAGACTGATACAGCTGTAACTATCTGACG